ATTCACAAGCACTATATGGTTCGAGGGAGTCTCTCAGGCATATTTGGACATATAAATGAATGAAGAGAGTGGTTATCACGCGCCTATCGTCCTCGTCAACTCAATGTCCATCAATCGACAATGTTTTGGACGCAATCCCAAACGCTTAGCATGGGCTTTCCTGATTGTATCAGCATACTAGTCGAAACACGATTAAAGTAAGACCAGAGCAACGCCGGAATCCTCATGACGGTAGTCATCACCATGAATGTGTCTAGCCAAAGTCATAAGAACGTGTCATCAGCCTTCCTATAGAATGTTGACTGCATAGATAACTCTTCCCGTATGCAACACAATCGAAGACTATCGTCGTGTAATTGACGTGGATCGTCGTTCTCTATTCAAGCGGTCCTTAAGAATCAGTCAAAGTCTTTCGCGTGCACTGGCGGCGCAAAATAGAGTCTGCAAGCCCATCGGGTCCTAGAGACCTGGAGCGACAGATGACCAAGGCAGGTTGAGGTGTCGAAGAACTCGCAGAGATAATAGCTCTGGTTGTTGCGTTGACATATCTTCTTACAAACGTAGTCTGAGGTATCGAGTCAACAGATCTCCTTCCTTCTGTTTTATGAGAGCGGTCAACTTATAAAGTATTCTCCCCGTCGACGCGAGCAGACTTAAACGGATCAAGAGAGTTCCGAAGCCCGATCCACATTTCATGATTCGCCACCAGCACCTGCGCCGCCTCTTCAGCACGACCTCGTCTGTATTCCATGAAAATCCACTCGTACGCCATAACCCAACGTGTCTGGGTATGCTCTCACGATCACGACTTTTACAGGGACTACCACAGCGTGGTGCGCCCCCGCAGATGCCCCGCCGAGGCGGGCCAATCGTCAAGCGGAGTATACCAAACGTGCGCAGGGTGGTTGCTGTTGCGAGTGGCAAAGGGGGTGTCGGGAAGAGTACGATTGCTGGTGCGCGCATATACATATATATGAGATTGCTTGAGCGGGTGATGATGGTTGGATAGTGAATCTCGCGTTTAGTTTGTCGGGATTGAAAGACCCGAGTGACGCTGCACGGCTACGCGTCGGTATACTCGATCTTGATGTGTTTGGGCCCTCCGTTCCGACTCTCATGGGCCTGCAGAATAGTGGTGAACCCGAGCTCACCCCAGGTCCGCGTTTGCGTTTGCGTTTCGGTGGAGGAAATAGGTTTTTGACGGTTATACAGCCGGCGCTCTGCGGCCACTTATCAATCACGGTATGCCGACGATGTCTATGGGGTACCTTCTTCCGAGGTCTGCAGAGACGAACTCGACAGATGACACGGCTGTTGTTTGGCGCGGACTCATGGTGCAAAAGGCCGTGCAGCAGCTTTTGTTCGACGTTGACTGGTCACAGAATGGCGGGCCTTTGGATGTTCTCGTGGTTGATATGCCCCCGGGGACGGGCGACGTACCTCTGACGCTGGGCCAGCTGGTAAAAGTCGATGGTAGGTCTCGCGCATCTTTTACCACGAACCAAGCTGCATGCGAATCAGGCGCTGTCATTGTGTCTACACCTCAAAATGTTGCCCTCGCGGATGTGAAGAAAGGCATATCGATGTTCCGCAAGGTTTCTGTCCCTGTGAGTACATATGTAAAACACGACTTAACCTCGTTCCGGACTCGATAGCAATCGATTAGATAACGGGACTCGTGCTCAACAACTCATACTACATATGCCCGACCTGCGCCTCTTCGACTTCGACGGGCACCCCTCACCCGCACGCGCAGGCGCAGTATATCTTTGGACCGCCCGATCACTTTCGAGAGACCGCCAGCCGCCTGGGGATACCGGTGCTCGCGGAACTCCCGCTGGTGCCGGGGCTGTCGGCTTCGGGTGATAGAGGCGTGCCGTATGGGCTTGTTGAGCGACGGAAGAGGGAACAGGGGGATTTGGCTGGTGGGGGGGTGTGGATTGAGGAGATGGAGGGTGTTGCGGCGAAGGTGTGGGAGAGCGTGGAGGGGGATGTGGGTTCTTCGTGAGATGGCTGGGCCTTTCGTTGCGAGTGCGCGATCTGGGACGACCACGCGGATTCTGGACACTGTAACTGATGGTCGGGATTAGTTGAAGTGCGATCGTCCTGCAGAAATCGTAGTAATTCTGTGCAGCAATGCCTTTGAGCTACCATCGTGTCGATGGAGACATCGGGCTCTTTATGTCAAGGGTCGATGGCGTAGTTGGTTATCGCATCTGTCTCACATAATCCTTATGGAACATGTCCACAGGAGGTCCTCAGTTCGAACCTGGGTCGACTCAATTTTTTAGTTTCGAGTAGTACCAATCCAATCACTTTCCACTGCTCTTCTCAGCATCGAACCGGTCAAGAGCAGTCGTGATCATATCATGTCGACGGTGTCGTTCAATGGAGAAAACGTGTAGCTCAACTCTACTGGAGGCCTGGAGGGTACCCCTAATCCTTTGTCGACGTCTTTGAATATGTGACTATAGCCCGGGAAGACGCTGTTTGCGCCTCATTGGACGTTGGAATCGGGCCAGCTGCGGTCCGCTGGCAACGCAACCCGAGCTGCCTACCTAGAACTCAGATATCCTTGTCGTCTCGAACAAGTTGATTACCAGATCAAATCTTACTTCGACGTGGTATTCTGAAAAGCCCGCGCCAAGCCCTCCGCGAGTATCAGATGGACAATGTCGTATAAGTGCTTCGGAGTCACTTCGGTGGTTGGGGCTTCGCTGTCAGCCTTGCATATAAGCTCAGAACAAGCGTTTCGCGGTCTCCTTCGTGGACTGAGCTTGCACCAATTTCAGGAGGTTGTCTCTGTGATCATTCCTGCCTTGAAGGGTGTAGACCTACACAATGAAGTTGACCCGTGTGAATCACGGTGGATCTCCGTTCTTCTCTTGACTTTCTAGTCTGACTTCGAGTCTCCATGAATTCTCCGCTCTTTCTTGATTTCGGCTTTGATCGTTTGATTTCGTTCTAGAAGCTCGGCCCGGAAGAAGTAAGTGATGTGGAGTGAAAGTACAGCGCCAGCAAGTTCCACTTGACATCGTGTTAACTGTTCGATCTCTGGTGGCTGAAGTTAGCCTATAATCATACATGTGATGCTCATTGCATGTCCGCAATGTATCCCAAGACTAAGGCGGTCCGGAAGTCAATTTTACCATGGTTTCTCGGTATATCCCCCATCTATAAAAGGCGTGTAAGACTCTTCGGTGCCACTCAGGCTGTAGGAAGTTGTATCGGCCATGGTTTTACGGTATTCTATCGTCGCGCTTGCCCTTGCCCTTGCGGCGCTCGCACAGCAACCGATGTACTCACAGTGTAAGCAACTCTTGATGTTGTCCCGTTGCATTAGACGTTATTTACTGATTATTCGTTTGTTTAGGTGGAGGTATTGGTTGGACCGGTGGCGCTACATGTGTCTCTGGTGCTGCCTGTACTCGCATTAATGACTTTTACTCACAATGTCTGCCTGGTACTCCAGCACCGACTACTACGGCCATCCCTACCACAACGCCCACGACGACTGCCACCGGCACATCTACGGCTCTACCTGGAGCCTCAACCTGCTCAGCTCTGCCGGGCACTATTGCATTGACGTCGAACGCCAAGTTACCTGACCCGTTCAAATTTGTGGGCGGAACTCGAACGGCTACAAAATCAGACTGGGATTGCCGTCGCGAGGAAATTTCCCAACTCTTCCAGCGCTATGAGCTCGGGACGTTGCCGCCTAAGCCACAAACTGTCACCGCATCTCTCTCTGGCACCACACTCACAATCAATGTCTCTGACAGCGGAAAGTCGATCTCTTTCTCTGTTACTATTTCGGCTCCTTCTGGCGTCACCGCTCCTTATCCCGCCATCATTGCTTATGGTGGCATGAGTATCCCTAGACCATCGGGTGTTGCCGTTATAACCTTCAACAACGATGACATGGCTGCCCAAGTGAATGGCGGCAGTCGCGGCCAGGGCAAATTCTATACTCTTTACGGATCTACTCACTCTGCGGGTGCCATGACCGCATGGGCTTGGGGTGTCTCTCGCATTATCGACGCCCTCGAGATGACACCTAGTGCCAACATCGATCTTGAGCGCATCGCAGTCACAGGATGCTCGCGTAACGGAAAGGGAGCACTTGTTGCAGGTGCCTTCGAAACCCGTATCGCACTCACAATACCGCAAGAGTCTGGTTCTGGTGGCGCTGGCTGCTGGCGCATCTCCGATGATATGCTTGCTAGTGGAATCGACACACAGACCGCATCTGAAATCGTCCAAGAGAACGTCTGGTTCTCCCCTCTGTTCAACCAGTACACGTCCCAAGTACGAAACCTTCCTTTCGACCATCATATGCTCTCTGCTCTGGTTGCGCCCCGAGCCTTGCTCATCATCGATAACACGGGCATTGATTGGCTTGGCCCACGTAGCGTTTGGGGTTGTCAAACGACGGCAAATGAGGTCTGGAAGGCTCTAGGAGTGTCAGATTCCATGGGCGTGTCTCAAGTTGGCAATCATGCCCATTGCGCATTCCCTTCTAGCGAACAGGGCGACCTTGATGCCTTCGTTAACAAGTTCTTAAAGGGACAGAGCACAAACACGAACATCATCAAAACCGATGGCGCGAATAACCTCGGCTACGTAGCAGCAAACTACGTTGACTGGACCACTCCCACCCTCACATAGATGTCACGTAAGAAGGAAATGTCAACTGGGAGGAAATCATGGGTGATGATTGTCATTTTTGCAAAGACCTGCGCGTGCTTTACATGACTTACTCAGGGTAGTAGTTTCTAAATGAATGTCATGTAAATTATCTTGTCCAAGTCAAAGAATTGTGGTTCTGCATAGCTACGGACCCGTTGGCAACATCCATTTTTCGTTGATTTCAAAGTGTCTCTATAGACTCGTCTAATGAAGAGCGCGATAGAAGAAGAGGTAAAAGTTCTCACGACGATCCTCTATTTAGACAAGAAGATCCCTCTCCTTAGGTCGGAGTTGGAAGGAAAAGATTGAGTGCATCGCCCTTCGATCACGTCGCTGTCACGCATCGTTACATTGGTCAGTCACAGAGGCGTGTCCAAAAATAGCAACACTCTTTCGACCCACCATGCCGCCCGCACTCTCCTCATCTGTAAGCCGTGAGCTCACTTGTGAGACGTATTCGTGACGAACGCCCCATAGATGACACTCAAGCGAATTCATCGTGAGGTCGCTGACCTCAAGAAGGAGGATTTGGGCCCTATTGTACTCGCACCGTCAGACGACAACTTATACCTGTGGAAGGGCAGCATTCCTGGCCCCGAAGGTAGTGTTTACGAGAACGGTGTATTCGATTTTGAGATTGTTCTTGCCCCAGACTATCCGCAAGTCCTCATTTCTCGTAGGAGGACGTCATGGACACTGACAGCCATATCTATATAGATTTTCAGCTCCTAAAGTTGTGTTCAAGACGAGGTGAGAATAGGGCCATTCAGCTGTACTGGAAACTGAACGTTGCAAATATATTAGAATATACCACATGAACGTCTGTGTTATTTGTCACGTCCGTCATTTTGATGATCTGATGAAGACCTAGATTTCTGAACAAGGCAACATCTGTATCGACATTCTCAAGCACAACTGGTCACCAGCATTATCCTTATTTAAAGTCATGTTATCCCTGTCCTCACTTTTGACCGATCCAAATCCGAGTACGTCCATTCCTAAATCGCCAGGCCACTCATCGTGCTGACCCGGACATTTAGAGGATCCGCTAGGTAATATATTCACGAGAGTTATTCCGTACCAGGATTTGATGGTCTATGACGCAGTGCCTAGTATCGCAAATCAATACACTCGCAATCGCAAAGCACACGATGCCATTGCACGCCAATGGACGGAACTGTATGCACGCCCAAAACCTCCGGCACCATCTTCTGTGCCCATTTTGTCAGCAAAAGCAAAAGGCAAGCAGAAAGCTTCTGATGTTCCGAGTGGATCGTCGACTTCATCACCGGCGTCAACACTTGCCGAACCTATTACAATTGAGGACTCGGATGATGAACGGAAACATCTTCTGAAACGTGGCACTGCCAAGAATTCTAAGCGCAAAAGAGAAGAACAACCAGAAATCAACTTGGTTGACGACGACGACCACGTGGAAGTGTCTGACAATGTAAGCGCCAGCAAGAAACGAGCAGTTGGGACTGGGCGGATTCCGAGGAAAAGCATGACTGATAATGGGAGTGGTCGTTCGCAACCTTTGATGCAACTGGGAGATGTCATAGTCTTAGATGATGATTGAGTGATAGCTTCTGTAATATGTTCTGCATAGATTAGGCAGTACTTATATTGTAATTATTATTCGGTGGAGAGGAACTTTCAGTCAATGAAAATCTCAATGGAGACTATACCAAAAAAAGTTCAAACCTCTATTTGAACATATATCCTGATTTGGATGTGAAGTGAAGTACAGAATGCGTGAATAAATAACTCACCAGTGCAATTCCATGCTTTGCAAGCACATTTGACATATACGGCATCCTTATCCCCAGCTGGTGAAGAACGAGAAGCCTGTACCCAAGTTGAGTCAAAGTCACATTTTTCAATGTAGGTGTTGTATCTTACCTCTCCATCATTGGCATCTGATCCATCTTCTCCAGAATAAGAGAAGCAGAGCTCTTCAAAGGGCTCAATATCACGCCTAGCAAAAACAGTTAAGAGCGGCTTTTGCAGATCGGAATCGTTGATGTAGCAGGAGACAAGGCTGCAATTGGGATCACAGGAGTGATTCTAGACATAATATCAGATTCTTTGATCCAAATGAAACTCGAATACATCGACTGACAAGAAACCTGGTAAACTGGGTCTTTGTGAGTATTCCTGGCTGGAAGTCACTATCAGAAACTGGCTTACATTACCAGCATGGTATGCATCCACGGTATATTGAATATCCCAATCTTCCTTCCCTTCTTTGAGATGCCAGAAATCGAGGTCAAAAAGGTAGGTCCTCCCAAACTTGTTATATGTTCTGGAGGGGAATGAGACAGCAAACATGAAAACTGCCAGCAAAAGAATTCACATTCCACGGATCTCTCCGACCCGGTCAGTGAGGAGTTCGCCTGCGTACAACCCAATGAACGATCCTGCAGAAATCTTCTTAGCTCCAGCAAATACGCCTAAGAAACAGCAAAGTCAATAGAAAAAACTTCGAGAATCATTGTCGGCACTGACCCCAGCCCTTCTCCGCAGTTTTTTGTATTCGAATAGCACATTTGCGGCCATGTTGGACAACCTACATTCAGACAATGAGAATACT